ACCAAATAGAGAACGACTGAAATATGCGAATTTTATCCTCGTATCGAGTTATTGATTAGTGGAATCGATTGACAGACTTTCACCTATGGGGACGTATCCTATCCTTCCCCCAGGCAGGGTCTACAGCCACTTTGGACTAATTTCGAAAACTTTCCCCGGCGCAATGTGCCTCGGGGGGGGGGCAGTCGCCGCGCGCGCCGTGCGGCAACAGGAAATTCGTGAGCCAGGGGGAGTGTAGCCAATTCAGGGGGGTTGGGGGTGAGGGCAGTCACATGACATGCGTGAGAAGCTGGAATGTTCCGTGAGAAGCTGGAATGTTCGAATTTCCTGTTGCCGCACAGCCGCGCGCGGCGACTGGCCCCCCCCCCCCCGAGGCACATAGCGCCCTTTTATTTTGGCTTGCTATCATATTATGTAGGCCAATCGCAAAAAAATGAAATACTGCTGCAGTTATGCACAGCTTTACTGACTGGCAACAAATTAATACTGGTTCTACGATCCTCACAACCCTTTACCGTAACACGCACTGAGACAGGACAGTCTCCCTCTCTCTCTGCTACTGCAAAGAAAAACACAACCGACCTGGCAATTCACAAGCGACTGCTGCCATCAAAGTGATGAGGGAGTACCTCACTCCGAGATGAAAACAGACTTATGTGATAGTGCTTTGATAAGCTTCCAATGGCTGAACATCCCTTTATGATTTGCACGGTCAACCGTCATCCCAACTACAATGAGCTCGTGGATACCAAATTACACCTCTGTTTATTTATTACTGGCGTAAACAACTAACATTGTTCGGATGCCAGAAAGGTTGAGCGGTTGAACTGACTTCTGTTGGCGATGATATAGCAATAGAAACACCAATGGCATATAATACTTTTATGAACACCGACCATCTTGGACGATTTTAAGGTTTAGTGGTCGAAAAGATTCCGAGGTTGACGACAACATCGCGACTGAAATAGAATGCTTCCTTGTCGCGCAACTTTAGTCACCCTCCCGTCCTCAAACTGCTCGTTCAAATCACCCCTTACCAGGATCGCTCTGCCCACACACATACACGTTCTCGTCCGACCTTCTACATCATATCTAAGGCTGATGCCATAGTTAGCGAACCGCTCGATTCGCAAACTATGACATCGGCCTAATAGACAGCGCCTCAATGGTGCTGGAGCGCGCGCTATGAATTTCTTGACACTTGCATTCTAACGCCTCTTATCGGATCTTATCAGCTGTTATCACTTCTGTCCCCCACCAAACATGTTCCCGTCCCACCCCTACATCATTCTGGAAGACAAGCGCCTCAATGCTGCTGGGACGCGCGCTATGAATTTCGTGACACTTGCGTTCTAGCGCCTCTTATCGGATCTTATCAGCTGTTATCACTTTCTGTCCCCCACCAAATATGTTCCCGTCCCACCCCCTATATCATATCTTAAAATCAACTCCTGACGACTGCTGGTCCGCGTGCTATGAATTTCGCGACACACGCACAAACAGACAGACATAGCGTTTTATATTATCTGTAAGGCCGATGTCATAGTTTGCGAATCGAGCGATTCGCTAGCGAATCGCTGGATCCGAGCGTTGCGCCAGCGAATCGAACGTTGCACCAGCGAATCGAACTTTGCACCAGCGAGTCGAACGATGTACCAGCGAGTCGAACTATGTACCAGCGACTCAATAGTGGCGGGACCCAACGTTCAAAGGAAGCCCGCCACTTTCAAACAGTGTCACGTGACAGTGGACGCTGTTTGAAAGTGGCGGGACTTGACAGTGGACACTGTTTGAAAGTGGCGGGCTTCCTTTGAACGTTGGGTCCCGCCACTATTGAGTCGCTGGTACCTAGTTCGACTCGCTGGTGCATCGTTCGATTCGCTGGTGCAAAGTTCGATTCGCTGGAACAACGTTCGATTCGCAAACTATGACAGTTAAGGTGACCTATGCCATCAAAAGTGCCTTCCAAGCTAGTCTTCTTTTCCGAATATTCAGGAATGCAAGCGGTATGATGAAGGTCGGTTACAGAGGTGAATTTGCGGGATCGATGTCAGCAGTTCGCAATCAAGTAGCGTTTTATCATCATTTTGTGGCTTGTTTTTTCACACAAGCGACAATGGTATTTCATGCACGGCGAGAGCCAAAGGTTTCATTTTTTGCGCAGACTTCAAATTTCTTGCGATAGCACATACTAACACGGAATACATTGTGGTATTTAAACGAAGAGTATGTGATGGCCTCAACAAAAAAATGCAGAAGAGGTACGTCTCCGAGGTGAGTCGGGTGAGCACTCTAAGGTGAGACTCTCGTCAGCCCTTTTGCATGGCTAACACATGATCTCTTTCACCGCTACCGAAGATTATTCAGGCACAGCCGCAAAAATAAAGAATCAGTGCCATTTAGCGGTTCTGATATAGAGTGGCGCGTCCCTGAAAGAAGTCCTTGTGGCGAGATGGCCGAGCGGTCTAAGGCGCTGGTTTTAGGCACCAGTCCCTTCGGGGGCGTGGGTTCGAATCCCACTCTCGTCAGCCCTTTTGCATGCCAGCTCGTGAACCACAATCACGGCGTAAAACACAATGGCAGAAGGAAACGCAGGGAAATGGACCCAGACATCAAAGTATCGATGAGGTAAGCCCCCGAGGAAACCACCATTGGCGAGATGGCCGAGCGGTCTAAGGCGCTGGTTTAAGGCACCAGTCCCTTCGGGGGCGTGGGTTCGAATCCCACTCTCGTCAGCCCTTTTGCATGCCAGCTCGTGAACCACAATCACGGCGTAAAACACAATGGCAGAAGGAAACGCAGGGAAATGGACCCAGACATCAAAGTATCGATGAGGTAAGCCCCCGAGGAAACCACCATTGGCGAGATGGCCGAGCGGTCTAAGGCGCTGGTTTAAGGCACCAGTCCCTTCGGGGGCGTGGGTTCGAATCCCACTCTCGTCAGCCCTTTTGCATGCCAGCTCGTGAACCACAATCACGGCGTAAAAGACAATGGCAGAAGGAAACGCAGGGAAATGGACCCAGACATCAAAGTATCGATGAGGTAAGCCCCCGAGGAAACCACCATTGGCGAGATGGCCGAGCGGTCTAAGGCGCTGGTTTAAGGCACCAGTCCCTTCGGGGGCGTGGGTTCGAATCCCACTCTCGTCAGCCCTTTTGCATGACAGCTCGTGAACCACAATCATGGCGTAAAAGACAATGGCAGAAGGAAACGCAGGGAAATGGACCCAGACATCAAAGTATCGATGAGGTAAGCCCCCGAGGAAACCACCATTGGCGAGATGGCCGAGCGGTCTAAGGCGCTGGTTTAAGGCACCAGTCCCTTCGGGGGCGTGGGTTCGAATCCCACTCTCGTCAGCCCTTTTGCATGCCAGCTCGTGAACCACAATCACGGCGTAAAACACAATGGCAGAAGGAAACGCAGGGAAATGGACCCAGACATCAAAGTATCGATGAGGTAAGCCCCCGAGGAAACCACCATTGGCGAGATGGCCGAGCGGTCCCAAAAAAAAAAAAAAAAAAAAGAAAAATAAGGCGCTGGTTTAAGGCACCAGTCCCTTCGGGGGCGTGGGTTCGAATCCCACTCTCGTCAGCCCTTTTGCATGCCAGCTCGTGAACCACAATCACGGCGTAAAACACAATGGCAGAAGGAAACGCAGGGAAATGGACCCAGACATCAAAGTATCGATGAGGTAAGCCCCCGAGGAAACCACCATTGGCGAGATGGCCGAGCGGTCTAAGGCGCTGGTTTAAGGCACCAGTCCCTTCGGGGGCGTGGGTTCGAATCCCACTCTCGTCAGCCCTTTTGCATGCCAGCTCGTGAACCACAATCACGGCGTAAAAGACAATGGCAGAAGGAAACGCAGGGAAATGGACCCAGACATCAAAGTATCGATGAGGTAAGCCCCCGAGGAAACCACCATTGGCGAGATGGCCGAGCGGTCTAAGGCGCTGGTTTAAGGCACCAGTCCCTTCGGGGGCGTGGGTTCGAATCCCACTCTCGTCAGCCCTTTTGCATGCCAGCTCGTGAACCACAATCACGGCGTAAAACACAATGGCAGAAGGAAACGCAGGGAAATGGACCCAGACATCAAAGTATCGATGAGGTAAGCCCCCGAGGAAACCACCATTGGCGAGATGGCCGAGCGGTCTAAGGCGCTGGTTTAAGGCACCAGTCCCTTCGGGGGCGTGGGTTCGAATCCCACTCTCGTCAGCCCTTTTGCATGCCAGCTCGTGAACCACAATCACGGCGTAAAACACAATGGCAGAAGGAAACGCAGGGAAATGGACCCAGACATCAAAGTATCGATGAGGTAAGCCCCCGAGGAAACCACCATTGGCGAGATGGCCGAGCGGTCTAAGGCGCTGGTTTAAGGCACCAGTCCCTTCGGGGGCGTGGGTTCGAATCCCACTCTCGTCAGCCCTTTTGCATGGCTAGCACATGATCTCTTTCACCGCTACCGAAGATTATTCAGGCACAGCCGCGAAAATAAAGAATAGTGCCATTTAGCGGTTCTGATATAGAGTGGCGCGTCCCTGAAAGAAACCTTGTGGCGAGATGGCCGAGCGGTCTAAGGCGCTGGTTTAGGCACCAGTCCCTTCGGGGGCGTGGGTTCGAATCCCACTCTCGTCAGCCCTTTTGCATGGCTAGCACATGATCTCTTTCACCGCTACCGAAGATTATTGAGGCACAGCCGCAAAAATAAAGAATCAGTGCCATTTAGCGGTCCTATATAGAGTGGCGCGTCCCTGAAAGAAGTCCTTGTGGCGAGATGGCCGAGCGGTCTAAGGCGCTGGTTTAAGGCACCAGTCCCTCTTCGGGGGCGTGGGTTCGAATCCCACTCTCGTCAGCCCTTTTGCATGACAGCTCGTGAACCACAATCACGGCGTAAAACACAATGGCAGAAGGAAACGCAGGGAAATGGACCCAGACATCAAAGTATCGATGAGGTAAGCCCCCGAGGAAACCACCATTGGCGAGATGGCCGAGCGGTCTAAGGCGCTGGTTTAAGGCACCAGTCCCTTCGGGGGCGTGGGTTCGAATCCCACTCTCGTCAGCCCTTTTGCATGCCAGCTCGTGAACCACAATCACGGCGTAAAAGACAATGGCAGAAGGAAACGCAGGGAAATGGACCCAGACATCAAAGTATCGATGAGGTAAGCCCCCGAGGAAACCACCATTGGCGAGATGGCCGAGCGGTCTAAGGCGCTGGTTTAAGGCACCAGTCCCTTCGGGGGCGTGGGTTCGAATCCCACTCTCGTCAGCCCTTTTGCATGCCAGCTCGTGAACCACAATCACGGCGTAAAACACAATGGCAGAAGGAAACGCAGGGAAATGGACCCAGACATCAAAGTATCGATGAGGTAAGCCCCCGAGGAAACCACCATTGGCGAGATGGCCGAGCGGTCTAAGGCGCTGGTTTTAAGGCACCAGTCCCTTCGGGGGCGTGGGTTCGAATCCCACTCTCGTCAGCCCTTTTGCATGCCAGCTCGTGAACCACAATCACGGCGTAAAACACAATGGCAGAAGGAAACGCAGGGAAATGGACCCAGACATCAAAGTATCGATGAGGTAAGCCCCCGAGGAAACCACCATTGGCGAGATGGCCGAGCGGTCTAAGGCGCTGGTTTAAGGCACCAGTCCCTTCGGGGGCGTGGGTTCGAATCCCACTCTCGTCAGCCCTTTTGCATGGCTAGCACATGATCTCTTTCACCGCTACCGAAGATTATTCAGGCACAGCCGCAAAAATAAAGAATCAGTGCCATTTAGCGGTCCTGATATAGAGTGGCGCGTCCCTGAAAGAAGTCCTTGTGGCGAGATGGCCGAGCGGTCTAAGGCGCTGGTTTTAGGCACCAGTCCCTTCGGGGGCGTGGGTTCGAATCCCACTCTCGTCAGCCCTTTTGCATGCCAGCTCGTGAACCACAATCACGGCGTAAAACACAATGGCAGAAGGAAACGCAGGGAAATGGACCCAGACATCAAAGTATCGATGAGGTAAGCCCCCGAGGAAACCACCATTGGCGAGATGGCCGAGCGGTCTAAGGCGCTGGTTTAAGGCACCAGTCCCTTCGGGGGCGTGGGTTCGAATCCCACTCTCGTCAGCCCTTTTGCATGGCTAGCACATGATTCTTTCACCGCTACCGAAGATTATTGAGGCACAGCCGCAAAAATAAAGAATCAGTGCCATTTAGCGGTCCTATATAGAGTGGCGCGTCCCTGAAAGAAGTCCTTGTGGCGAGATGGCCGAGCGGTCTAAGGCGCTGGTTTAAGGCACCAGTCCCTTCGGGGGCGTGGGTTCGAATCCCACTCTCGTCAGCCCTTTTGCATGCCAGCTCGTGAACCACAATCACGGCGTAAAACACAATGGCAGAAGGAAACGCAGGGAAATGGACCCAGACATCAAAGTATCGATGAGGTAAGCCCCCGAGGAAACCACCATTGGCGAGATGGCCGAGCGGTCTAAGGCGCTGGTTTAAGGCACCAGTCCCTTCGGGGGCGTGGGTTCGAATCCCACTCTCGTCAGCCCTTTTGCATGACAGCTCGTGAACCACAATCACGGCGTAAAAAGACAATGGCAGAAGGAAACGCAGGGAAATGGACCCAGACATCAAAGTATCGATGAGGTAAGCCCCCGAGGAAACCACCATTGGCGAGATGGCCGAGCGGTCTAAGGCGCTGGTTTAAGGCACCAGTCCCTTCGGGGGCGTGGGTTCGAATCCCACTCTCGTCAGCCCTTTTGCATGCCAGCTCGTGAACCACAATCACGGCGTAAAACACAATGGCAGAAGGAAACGCAGGGAAATGGACCCAGACATCAAAGTATCGATGAGGTAAGCCCCCGAGGAAACCACCATTGGCGAGATGGCCGAGCGGTCTAAGGCGCTGGTTTAAGGCCCCAGTCCCTTCGGGGGCGTGGGTTCGAATCCCACTCTCGTCAGCCCTTTTGCATGCCAGCTCGTGAACCACAATCACGGCGTAAAACACAATGGCAGAAGGAAACGCAGGGAAATGGACCCAGACATCAAAGTATCGATGAGGTAAGCCCCCGAGGAAACCACCATTGGCGAGATGGCCGAGCGGTCTAAGGCGCTGGTTTAAGGCACCAGTCCCTTCGGGGGCGTGGGTTCGAATCCCACTCTCGTCAGCCCTTTTGCATGGCTAGCACATGATCTCTTTCACCGCTACCGAAGATTATTCAGGCACAGCCGCGAAAATAAAGAATCAGTGCCATTTAGCGGTCCTGATATAGAGTGGCGCGTCCCTGAAAGAAGTCCTTGTGGCGAGATGGCCGAGCGGTCTAAGGCGCTGGTTTTAGGCACCAGTCCCTTCGGGGGCGTGGGTTCGAATCCCACTCTCGTCAGCCCTTTTGCATGCCAGCTCGTGAACCACAATCACGGCGTAAAACACAATGGCAGAAGGAAACGCAGGGAAATGGACCCAGACATCAAAGTATCGATGAGGTAAGCCCCCGAGGAAACCACCATTGGCGAGATGGCCGAGCGGTCTAAGGCGCTGGTTTTAAGGCACCAGTCCCTTCGGGGGCGTGGGTTCGAATCCCACTCTCGTCAGCCCTTTTGCATGACAGCTCGTGAACCACAATCACGGCGTAAAAGACAATGGCAGAAGGAAACGCAGGGAAATGGACCCAGACATCAAAGTATCGATGAGGTAAGCCCCCGAGGAAACCACCATTGGCGAGATGGCCGAGCGGTCTAAGGCGCTGGTTTAAGGCACCAGTCCCTTCGGGGGCGTGGGTTCGAATCCCACTCTCGTCAGCCCTTTTGCATGCCAGCTCGTGAACCACAATCACGGCGTAAAACACAATGGCAGAAGGAAACGCAGGGAAATGGACCCAGACATCAAAGTATCGATGAGGTAAGCCCCCGAGGAAACCACCATTGGCGAGATGGCCGAGCGGTCTAAGGCGCTGGTTTCGAAGGCACCACTCTCGTCAGCCCTTTTGCATGGCTAGCACATGATCTCTTTCACCGCTACCGAAGATTATTGAGGCACAGCCGCAAAAATAAAGAATCAGTGCCATTTAGCGGTCCTATATAGAGTGGCGCGTCCCTGAAAGAAGTCCTTGTGGCGAGATGGCCGAGCGGTCTAAGGCGCTGGTTAGGCACCAGTCCCTTCGGGGGCGTGGGTTCGAATCCCACTCTCGTCAGCCCTTTTGCATGCCAGCTCGTGAACCACAATCACGGCGTAAAACACAATGGCAGAAGGAAACGCAGGGAAATGGACCCAGACATCAAAGTATCGATGAGGTAAGCCCCCGAGGAAACCACCATTGGCGAGATGGCCGAGCGGTCTAAGGCGCTGGTTTAAGGCACCAGTCCCTTCGGGGGCGTGGGTTCGAATCCCACTCTCGTCAGCCCTTTTGCATGGCTAAGCACATGATCTTCTTTCACCGCTACCGAAGATTATTCAGGCACAGCCGCAAAATAAAGAATCAGTGCCATTTAGCGGTTCCTGATATAGAGTGGCGCGTCCCTGAAAGAAGTCCTTGTGGCGAGATGGCCGAGCGGTCTAAGGCGCTGGTTTAGGCACCAGTCCCTTCGGGGGCGTGGGTTCGAATCCCACTCTCGTCA